TTCCCTCAGGAATACCTTAAACACAGCCCTCTCACTGGCTTAACTTTCCTAACATACCCACTCACCCAAATCATCATCTTCTCTCACTGTCAGCCTGGGCTTTTATACTACTCCCAGCTGAACTCCCATTGGCTGGCTCTCAACTGCCTCCTGATTGGCCAGCTGGACCTCTGTTCACCACATACCTCCCCCCTTCAACAAGTTTCTGGACACACTTAACCAATCGGTTATGTGGGCCCATAAACCCCTATAAACAATTATACATACCATCAAACTATATCATGAATAACATTCAATAATCAACAACATTTCTATATACAATACATTTATACATTTCTCTGGCTTTTCTTCACAAACGAAGATTCAGGAAGGACTCATCCCATGCTTTTTGCAAGCGCGCTGATTTGTCCTTCAAGTCTGTGCAATGGATTTTTCTGGTGGAGCGCAGCGTGCACAGAACTGGCCTCAACCTTTAAACCAAAGGTTCGTCTGCTATGGCCTTGCAAGCATGGATGGTAGCAATGAGATCCTCGGGTCGTAGGTTTGTTTAGAGTTTCCTTCTTTTAGATCAAAGGTAGGCAACCTTTTTGAGCTGGGGGCCGGGTTGCTGTCCCTCAGACAACTGGGGGGCCGAAGCACCAAAAATAAATAAATAAATAAATAAATAAATAATTTTTTTAAAAAAATTAAAAAATATGCATGCACACGCTTTCACCCCCAGAAAAGCCATGGCAAAACCCCTGTGGAGATTTTGCCAAGAAAACCCCAAGAACAAGTAGTAATAACAATAATCAATATCGTCATGGCGGGCGGTGGTGGCGGCGGCGGCAGGATCGGCCTGGGGCCGGTCCAAAGGCCTCGGGGGGCCGCATCCAGCCCCCCGGGCCTTAGGTTGCCTACCCCTGTCTTAGATGGTTGACCTTACAGGGTTGGACGAGCACCATCTGCCCGGGTTTGGAATTAGAGTTTTCCTTCTCCTAGGATGGTTGCCATAATGCTAGGGAGCCCATCCTGCATTTATACATTTATACATATACAAACCATTACCTGTTAAACAAGATTACATTATCAGTTCACTCTTTAAATCATTAAGCTGTACTGAAAGTTACTATCATTCCAGTTAAATATTCCATACAGTTACATCTTATTTTTCATTGTATTTCTCCTCAGTCAATCAGGAGAGGCTATCTGCTACTACATTCTCCTTACCTTTTACATACCAACAGCAATTATTCATAAATATACCTTCAATAATTGCTCTATTTGCTATATTCTCTTACCATATTCATCTTATAAGTTTAGCATACATATTTACATTACAGATACAAGACATGTCAGCTGGTTATTCTCAGCACTCTAAATACATTGCAACAAATTTAAATTCTTTATGTGTTTCTCTTAAATTCATTACTGAAATCATTCTCAGTCTTCTAGCCCTTCTCTCTTACCAGCTTGAAGATTAATGGAGCCTTATCTCTAAGAACTTTTCCCCATTCCCAATACGGGTCTGGAAGTTCCTCCTCCCTCATCTCAATAATGACAGATAATATCAAATTTTCCTTTCTCTGGTAAGGTTTTAACCTATTAACATGAACCAATTTACATCCTATTTCATTTCCCAAGTCCACTATATAGTTTACATCGTTGATCTTCTCTGTAACTTGAACTGGACCTGTCCATGCATACTGCACTTTATTTCCTCTTGTTGGTCGAAGGTCTAACACCTCATCTGCAGGCAGGAAAACTCGAATTTGGGGCTTTTTGTCATACTAAGTCTTTTGCTGACCTTGAGCTGCTTTCAAATTTTCTTTGGCAACTCTCAAGGCTTGTCTTAAGGATATCATCAGGTTCTGGACATACGATACCACATCTTCCAGATCTCTTTCCTCTGGAGATTCCCACTCTTGGTGAATGATATCTAAAGGTCCTTTTACTTTGCTTCCAAACATTAACTTGAATGGACTGAATCTTAAACTTTCTATAGGCAAACAATAGGGGTTGCAATTTGGTGTCCCAATCATTCTGTTTTTCTGCAGTGTAGGATTTTATCATGTTGACTAAAGTTCCATTAAAGTTTTCTATAAGCCCATTACTTTGGGGGTGATAAGAACTTGTGGTTAACTGTTTCACTCCACAAATCTCCCATAACTTTTGCATTGCTTTGGAAGTAAATGTACTTCCCAAATTCAAAATTACCTCACTCGGAAACCATAACCTACAGAAGGTATTTATCAGAGCATTAGCCACAGTTGTTGTCTCTATATTCTGCAAAGCTACTCCTTCAGGATATCTTGTGGCATAGTCCATTAGAGTAAGAATATATCTATCCCATCTCTGAGTTGCACGAGGTAGTGGCCCTATTATATCCATCCCTATTCGCTGGAATGGCTGGGATATAACTGGTAATGGACAAAGCTTAGCTCTGGTTTTATCTCGCCTTGTTCCCACTTTCTGACAAATGTCACAAGATTTACAAAAAGATTTTATATCTTGTCCCATTTTTGGCCAATACAAATTCAAAGAGACTTACTGGGTAGTTTTCTTAATTCCCAAGTGACCTCCAAATGAACTAGAATGGGCTATTTCTAGTATCTGGCTTCTATATTTCTGAGGGACTACCAACTGTTTTTGAATTTCTTTTTGAGTATTATATTTACACTTGAGACCCTCTCTATATAAGTGGTCTTGAATGTTTTAAATCTGTGAGGGTGATTTTCACTCAGCGCTACATCTTCCTCAGATAGAGCGAACAAAGGTTTTAAACTTTCATCTCTCTTTTGTTCCTGACCAAATTTTGCCTGGTTCTCAAGTTGAATCTCCTCACAACTCTCCTTATTTTTTAATCTCAGATATACCACTCTCATCGCTAGTGACATCTGGTTCGGTTTGT